ATTCCAATTTAGTTGATTTGCAACGCGCCTGGTACAGAGGAGGAGATTGTCACACAAACATTACATACACATATGCACCTACACCGTCCGCACACATTCACATTCACCTATGCATAAACATAAACGCCAACTCTCTCTCTCTCTCTCTCTCTCTCTCTCTCTCTCTCTCTCTCTCTCTCTCTCTCTCTCTCTCTCTCTCTCTCTCTCTCTCTCTCTCTCTCTCTCTCTCTCTCTCTCTCTCTCTCTCTCTCTCTCTCTCTCTCTCTCTCTCTCTCTCTCTCTCTCTCTCTCTCTCACACACCCACACATCATACATACACGCACACGCATACACACGCACACGCACACACCCACACCCACACCCACACCCACACCCACACACACACACACACACACACACACACACACACACACACACACACCTACACACACATACACAACTTACGCATAGGTCTACATGTTATTTATTGATTTAGTCTTTGCGTATATTTTGTTTCCTGCTTTTTCGTACAATGCTGTTTTAGCTGATAAGGTCATCGTGGCTTCTTGCAACGAACATTGTGCGTCATGTGTGATAACCGTTCGAACCGTTCAATAAACTAGCCCTTAAGTGGGAACAACCGAAAAAAAATCCCAAATGGCCTTTTAAGATAAACTTTTAATACAATCGGAGCGTTTCGATAAGAGGAACACGATGCTGCTTAAATAAATTCCATGCAAGTTTTAGGCTATAAGCTATGAGGTTATTGTGAAAAACAATTTGTGTTCTCATTATACCCATGGTGGCAGGTGTTGTCATTTGCATGCTAAGCCGTTGACTTAAGCTAAATCTGACAAGATTATACAGAAAGAGGGGTAGGGGAGCCGGGAGAGTGAGGTAAGATGAGCCAAGGGGCAAGTTTAGCCACCCCATGTTTCTCAGCTCCTATGGACCTATGGCATTAATTGACATAAGCTTCCATACCTATGCCGTTCGCTTACGATGCTGCAGTCTTTCACGTGAGACGGCAACGTTCGCGGGACGCAGGTAAGAGAGCTGCATCAAAAAACATGTTTACAATCGATAAAAGCAGGCTTTTGATATTGCGATTGATTGTCGCTCAGCACCCGGTAACATGTGGTATCGCCCCTGATAAATAAAACATGTTTTGCCTTTAAAATGAGATGGTTGGTTATTTGCGGTGCATGATTATTTTTCTTAGCGGGTGTCATTAATCGAAAATGGCCGCGGGTGGGGCAATATGAGCCATTTTCACCTGGGGGAAGATGAGCCGGATAAGCCATTGTTGTCTCCGCTGTCGAAAACCAAACTGAGCTGTGCTTGTTTCTGCTGAATAAAAATGGTAGGAAATTGTTTTTCTTTGTTGATTACACAAGTTGTAAGTGATTTGCCGATTATCTGAAGGATAAAATGATTTCTTCCGTGATAGAAAACTTGACGAGTTATTGGAAGGCTTAAACAGTCACTTTTTGATGGAGGAAAAAAACTTTGCCATAAGTATGTATGCCATGGAGTAAATAAAAGAGGCCACTCTTCGCCGTGGCCCGGGAAAAGAAGAGGTTCGCTTTTTCTATCCATGCTCAACTTTCTCCACGACGTGTCTCAACCTGCCCCGCCCATGGGGTAAGATGAGCAACGTGGATGATGATTTTTGACGTAGCCTTTTCAGTTAAAAAATAAGCGGTATGAAACATTTCTGGCCACCATTACATGCCCAAATGACCACTCTGTCCGTCCAACCCGTAAACGCAGAAAAATGATCAGTACATAAGTTAGCCTGTAGCCTACGAAAAACAAAAAGCGGCTCAACTTACCTCATTCTCCCCTAAAAGAGCTGATTGTTTTATTTGCTTAGGCTCTTTTGGTAGATTTCAGAGCGGGAAGGATGACAGGAATTGGGGGGGGGGCATGGGTCTGGGCGGGAATCCTGGACCTGGTGCGCCGCTGGGGCCGAGCCCATCACGTGGATTGGATTGCCCTGACACATGGATAGCCCTGAACGGTGTTTCACGGCTCAGCGCTGAATTCGGCTAGCTCCAGCGTTGCGAGCTTCCGACTCTGTTGATGTTTCCATGGAAATTGGAACCCCAATGCACCGCTGCGCGCAATGCATCCTATCTAAGCAAAATTTTACCATCGATGACCTCTGGTGACATGACCTTTGGCCCGATCTAAAATTTGCCGAAGCATTTGCATTTCCATTTTACTTTCGCAGAGCCGTTCAGTATTACCTATATAATCCCAAATTTGACAAGCGATTGAAGTTCAATCATTAAGTTCTTATTTCTTGTGTGTTATTGTTGATTCTTGCTCACAATGAGTAATTTTGGTCAGATATTTGGGGTACCTACAAACGACGACAATCAGCTGATTGTTTGAATTGTTTACTTGCCTTGGGGCCGTGAGAAGCTGTGCACATCATGAATTTGCAGCAAAACCGAAAAAAAATCATGCCGTTATTTCGACGAGGTAATTTCGAAAATTAAGGCACTGGAGAGATTCGTTTTGGAGCATTTTACGACAAAACCAGTTTACCGCCATAGGCGGCGGAACGAGGGGGCACCAGGGCACCGTGCCCCCTTTGATTTTGACATTTTAAAATTAGCCCTATGGGCGTTGCATGGAAAGAATGGGACAAAAAGTCAGTGATGACCCCCCCCCCCCTTAATTCAAGGTGTTCCGCCGCCATTGTTTACCGCACTTGGTGAGAATGAGACCTGAAACATTTTTTATGCTTCTGGCGTTTTGAAAAGCATGTCATGAAGGGCATATCATCTATTTAGTGCGGTGTCCTTTACAACACTAGTTTAGTCCTGTTTTTGCAGCATATCACTTACCCCATCACCCCCATATCATCTTTTATATGTATAAGACGTTTTAAAACAGTGCCTTTGTTTCATCGATATACAGTTTTTATCCTATTTTACTCTATCCATTTTTATTTTTTATCTTTATTTTTCTATTTTTACTTTTATTCTGGTCGGAATAAGGTGTGTGCACGCCCGTTTGTGCAGTGCTTACTAGGGCTGATAATCCCGGGACTTTTTGGCAATCCCGGGATCCCGGGATTTTAGAAATGCAATCCCGGGATATCCCGGGATCCCGGGATTGAGCAGTTTTTATTTTAACCTGTCTACAAAGCAGAATTTCTTGCAATATCGTATGTATATGGCGCATCCTTACCATCATAAACACAATACCAGGCATACACCTTCACCCCGAACAAATATAAGAGCATGAATGACATTGATCATTGTATTTCTTGTTTATATTTCGAGTCAGGATACAGTAGACGTGCCTACGGATTGTGGTCGTCTGACCAGCAGCATGTTCTGGTCACATTCACTTGTTACGGTAGTAGCACTTGAGGAAGCAAAGTGCATCAACGACTTCGTCGCCGAGACTCGACCGCACTTTTGTGACGATATTCCCGACAGTGGAAAACACTCGTTCCGATTCAACACTCGTAGGAACTATGCCCTTCAGCCAGTTGTAGGACAGCGCTACCATGCCTGTCCTTCCTGAGATAGGTAAATTTTCCAATTCTTTCCTTATGGCCTTCGTCATCATCAGAGAAGATTGCTAAAAGTTAATCCCAGACGGGCATGAACTGGTGCCTTGCTCTGGAGCTCTAACCTCATCTAGAGCTTGTTGAAGCATCGACTGAAGAGACGGCGCTGATTCAGGATCATCAGCGTCCATCACTTCTGTATCTACACCTACTTCGGTATCATGCATCTGTTCTCCCAATCTTTCCATCATGTGGACAACTAAGTCCTGTGCTTCCTTGCGAGAGGCACTAGGAAAAATATCTTTCCAGTCTCTGTCTGCCGACATTTTGTTATGGAGCGATTGTAGGACTTTAGCAGCACGTGACCGTCTCTGTCGGATGCGCTGTTTCAACGCATCAGACAGTTTACATGCAATCGCGTTTACATGCAGTTTACATGCAATTAAATTCAGCAAAATCCGACATTTTGGCAAAGTTAGCTATAGCTTATCACAAAGGCACGTAATTAATAATTATTCACTAACGGTAACCATGCCCAGGGCGCCCGGCCAGCCTCATGGATCGTCCAGCCACGGGGCACTGACAGTAACTGAGCCACCAGACGTGCTCCCACAGTCACACAGAGAAGACGGCCGACCTCCTCCCACTCGATGGACTCGAATTCGATAGTCGGCATAGTATGTCATCGTGCAAAATGATCTGTTAAACCGAGTACGCGAGGGACGTCGCGGGGAGCGAGAGATGAGCCGAGAGAGAGCTCGTCTCTCGCCACATTGTGAAGGCTGAGACGGTGTGAAACAATGTCAATTGTAGGTATATATGTAACCAATACTTGTGCATAACGACTTTGCACGGCGTAAGTAAGATCTTTGGACATAAAACTGCACTGTAATGCGTTGTTACTCACTTACCTTTTTTTACATACCTACTATCAGCTACACTTTATGAACGATGTTTCTGTACGGAAAATATCGGGATCCCGAAATCCCGATGCTTCTAATCCCGGGATTCGGGATTAATACAATCCCGGGATCCCGGGATCCCGATCCCGGGATTATCAGCCCTAGTGCTTACTGCTCAGTATGTTCGTGTTTATACTTTTTATGTGACTTCACCTGTAAGTGGGGACTAGAGATGTCAATCGGATACCAACATTTTGGCATACCGATACCAAACCGATACCAACTTGGTATTTGGTATTTCAATCCTCCTATATTTGGTATTTTGTTGGTATTATGAACCCTCACTAATATATAAGAAGCTGATAAATTGGTATAAATTAAATTTGGTATTTGCCTCATGTTTCTAGGTTGGTTCGGTTTCGGTATTTCCTCACGGTTTTGGTTGGTATTTGGTTTGGTATCGGTATTCCGATTTTCTGTAATTGACATCACTAGTGGGGACCATCCGGTTGGTGATTGAATGAATAACAAAGAGTGCTATAATCACCCAACTAACAAAATGGCGGTGTTTTGCCCCTGGTTCCAGTCGTGGAGGAAGGCGGTGCTGGGTGCGGTCGACTCGGCGGCAGCCCGGCTCTTCAACGCCGCGGAGGCACGTGTCTTGGAGGACGATATGTTCGGCAGCTGGATCACCTGCGACCAGGCAGCAGCCGCACTTCTCGTCCGGCCCCAGATCGCCAGGAACACCAGCGCCCACCACGTGCGTACAGTCACCAACACTTGCTACACATCACCTTGTTTTCGGTCACTAGTTTGAAGACCGATCCATTCTCAGTCGCGCAAGATACTTTAAATGGTCCGTTAGGGCGTCCGATTTTCGAATATCTACCTTGTTTTAGCATATTCAAGACATTGTGGAATGGGGAGCCATAAAACCTCTTCTCCGCCCTAAAGTATGTATGCCCCACACTGAAAACAATTTTACCCGGAGCTGGCGAATTCAGCCTTGCTCTGTGGGTGGTATGTGCGTATTAACCCGCGCCCGGCTGGGGGTCCTGGATTTCCACGCCCTGCTGGGGGGGGGGGGGGTGCGTTTGAACACCCCCCCCCCCTTGTAACTCGGCTCTTGGGCCACGTAGCGATACGCGGAAGGCGGCGTTCGAAAGAGCGTCAAAAATAATGACGAAATCACTTCGGTCAATGTTTTGGTCAGGTCAAAGGTCAGGTCACCAGAGGTCATTGAAGGCAAAATTTCGATTTCCAGGTCGAATGTCGAAAATTTCCAAGAAGCCAACGCATAACCCGAGAACCAATAGAGCTACAGCGCTGCGGAAAAGCGCATTCGATAGCCCTATTAAAGCCCTTTCTGAGTAATTCTCTCAGATTTGACCTAACGTCAACGGTTTTGCCTGCAGGGGGCAAAAATTGCAAAAATAGCCGATTTTTTTCGGAAACAGTTTTTCTGCAATAACTTTTGACCCAAGCCTTGTACGAGCTTACTTTTACCGGCATTGTGTTCCTCTCGTCAAGACGCATCGAATGAACTATAAGTTGACCTTGAAAGGTCAACTTGAAAATTTGACCTCAGGTCAAGGTCATGACCTGACCGGAAAGGGTCATGTTGCATATCAGTCGATCCGTATCGTCGAGCTGAACACATATAAGGCGTTTTCATTGCTCTAGCATGCCTGTATCAAGAGTTATTTGCGAAAAACTGTTAGATACCATTCTAGACCTAAGATGACCTCAGGGCATAAACAAGGGTCACGGACACCATTTTCGGACATGGAGAGCCATCTACGGGAGCTGCAGGCGTTGGGCATAGATTTGGGAACATGTGGGAGAGTTCTGGCACCAATCCTAATGAAGAAGCTTCCATCAAAGTTCAAGGAAAATATCATCAGGAGCACAGGAACCACACTGAAAACAATTTAACCCAAGGCCCGCGAGTAAACCGGTGTTTCGCGGGTACCCCTATCCGCAACCATTTTTAACCACCCTCCCAGGAGTACAGCAAGGTCCCATTGCAGTGTAGTCGTCCCTGCTCTCAGCGGACTTGTTCGCTGACAGCGGTTATATCCGCTCAGAGCAAGTACGACTACACCGCAATGGGACCTAGGACTACTCCTGGGAGGGTGGTTAAAAATGGTTGCGGATAGGGGTACCCGTAAAACACCGCTTTACTCGCCAGCCTTGGGTTAAATTGTTTTCAGTGCAGGCATCCGACACTGAAGGAAATGAGAACGGCGCTGGGTGACGAAATGCAAACTGTGAGGGCTGCAGAAGTCGACCAGGCCGGAGACAGAACTCAGATGCACAGATGCTACAGAAAGGACAAAAGCTGGACCAAGAAAACACTGATCAGCCAGACAGAACGCACGGTCTGTGAGCTGTACACGCGCCGGTGATCATCAACTGACAAACTGTCAAAGTTTTGGAGGGATGGATCTGGACCAGAGACTGAGCACATGTAGATCCTATGGACTCTTCTTCAGGTGTCTCCGCCGCGGACACCGTGCTACGGATTGCACATCGTTTCCCGGCTGCAGTGTGGATGGGTGCAAAGGGAAACATCACACTCTACTCCATGCAGAAATCGGCTTGGGCGATAAACAGCCTAGTGACGCCTGCACAGAGCAACAAAAGGACCGGCAACAGAACAGAGCGCTGTCAACGTCAGCACAGTGAAAAGGCCCATGTTATGCTGTATATGTTACGGGTCATACACGGAGAAAATTTAAAACACTGCTAACGGTGTAAGTGGTTAAACTGCATACCCACGGGTGTTTTTGAAAGGTGTCAGATAACACTTATATGAGCGTCAAGATACACCATTGTACTATCCCTAAGGGTGTCCAGTTTCTGTACTGTGGTGTCATACACCCCAGACAAGGGTGCGTTTCGACTCCCCTCAGACACCCTATTTACACTTATAATGGTGTCGCCAAGATAACACCCGTAGGGATACTGGGGGGAATAATCGCTTGGGTGTGTGTTAAACTGCATACCCACGGGTGTAATTTAAAGGTGTCACAACACAACGCTTATAACGGTGTCACCAAGTTGACACCCATAGGGATACTGGGGGGAATAATCGCCTGGGTGTGTGTTAAACTGCATACCCACGGGTGTAATTTAAAGGTGTCACAGCGCTGCTTACACTTATAACGGTGTCACCAAGTTGACACCCACAGGGAGCCCACAGGCTCCATATACTCCATGACACCCTGTGGGTGTCATGGAGTATATGGGCGGCTCCAGTGGCGCAGTTGGTACACGGAGAAAATTTAAAACAACGCAAATTCAAGTTCAAAATTCAAAACAAGTCGCATGGAAACATGGTTTCATTAGGTTGCATGTGGTGGGATTCAATCGGATCTCAGATCCTGATTTTGGTTTGTTATAAGATGCAATGAGATCATAGATTCAGAGATTCAGGATACATTTTCTACGTGGGATACAATGGGATTATAGATCCAAGCTTGTCGTTTGCTTTAAGATCCACTGAGATCATGTATCAATCACTCGGATCCATGCACATGTCTACTACATATCAGCCCCCCTCCTCCCTCTTAAGTCCGTATCAGTTCAGTGTTCACCGAGGTCGCCGTAGGACGCTAGCTCTCTCTAGCCCTATTCACACACTTCGCAGTTCATAATCGCCTGTCGTGCCTACCCCCCCCCTCCCTCGCCACACAAACCTTTTACAGCTCTGTTCACTTCAGCGCGGCCCGAAGCTTGATCTCTGAGCCCTTCTATCTCTTTGCCCTTTGCTTCAGCTCTTTGAAAACGGAGCGCACTTGAGTGGGTACATGGCAACTGAGCTCCACTTCGAAGACCGTTTGCTCCATGAAAATGTTTATGTTCTTGGCTTTTCAGAGTCAGAGTCAGAGTCATTTATTAGAATTCTCCACATGGTGGGTATTACGAATTCAGTCATTGTACACTGGTAAAAGCATGGTTAAAAATGAGACACATTGCAAGACCTAAAACATTTTGTTTAAAACACAGCGCTGGTGATTCACTTGGGCCTCTCCGGTGCTATCCAGTCTAACTGCGTGTTAATTGGGCGTTCCAGGCGGATGCAGCCCTATAAGTGAAGCTCCGCTGGGTTCTCACTAGGCGGCATCTGGGAAGATCCAGGGAGGCACATTCTGGAGAAACACGAAAGGACGACACTTAGAAATAGAAACACGTACAGACTACAGAAACAAGTATAGGATGACTCCGCGGCGGGCTTGAGGTGTTTGAACATGAACACCACTCCCCCTCCTGCGGTATTTCGCAGATCTTAAAAAAACGGCGGCGCCCTGCCCACTTTTGTCCAAGATTTTTGCACATGTTAAAATTCATACCCAGGTCGCTCAAGGTCAGGTCACCAGGCCACATCAAGTGACCTCATCCCAGAAAATTAAGAGTTTGTTCGCCAATGCTACACTATCTGAGTGATCACTTTCAAATTTTAGGCGATTGATAAGATAAACAGCATGAATAAATACGTATCTCTGAAGCTTGATATCTGTAACCTGTAAGGTCAAGAATGCAAACATTATGCATAAGTCAACGGGAACAAATTGAAATGTGTTCTTTTGGACGAAAGTCATACTTAACGCCCCCAAACATTGAATAACAGATAAACATTACACACTGAATGGGAAAATTGCACCCGTGACTCTATTTATACCCAAGACGTGCTATCAGGTCATGACATGTATCCACTATCCACTATTCAGTTTTTTTTTTACAGTAACTTTTTATAGAGCTAGAGCGATGAAAACACATAAGATGTGTTCAGCTCGACAATACTAATCGACTAATTTGTAACATGACCTTTCTGGTCGGGTCATCACCATAACCCTTGGTCAGATTTTCAAAATCACATTTGACGGTCATATTATTTTTTAATTAGACGCGTCTCAAATCGAGGAACACGATGCCGGAACATTAAATGTCGTGTCGGTTTTGAATCAAATGAATTGCTGCAGAAAACAATTTCTGTAAAACCGTTTATTTCATGGGTTTTCTCCTCTGTAGGGCAATTAGTTGATCTTAGATCAAATCTGAGGACGCATTTCACACTCACAAAAAAACGTTGAAAGAGCTACTGGGTGTACTTTTCGGCCGCGCTGTAGCTCTATTCGTTCACAAGTTATTCGCCGATTCGTCAACAAGTGGCGTAAGAGGCAAAATTTGTCCTTCGATGAACTTTGGTGACCTGACCTTTGACCTAATCTAAGGCTCCCTTAATATCAGCTTCGGGTTACGTTGTTTTTAACGCCCTTTGGAATTTAAGCTCATCCTTCAGGCGTCCATTAAGGGTGTACTTCAACACTGTTAAGACACCCTAGTAACACTCGTAACGGTGTAAAATTGATAACAAACACTAACATTGCAGGGAATGACGCTCACATGTGTGATAAACTGAACACCCACTTTCATCATTGGTGTTATTCAACCTTGTTATTACCAACAATTCATTTAAACTACCAGTGATACATTTGTACCTGACACCCTGTACCCAATGGGGGAATCAATAAGTTGTATGCATACCTATATGATACAGCGTTATGAAATTACACACAGAATGTAGGTTGCAGGGAACAAATGCCACCACATTGCATCGCAAATCAGTCTAGCAGCACGGATACGCGGAGCATAATAGAAATAAGCAGAATCCAACCGCCTCCCCCTCTCCAGTGGGGTTACGAATTCGGATAAATACCCAAGCAGGGTGCGTGTTAAATTGCACACCAACACCAG